TGTTCATTTGCACAATTTTTGGTATAATTCGTATAGTATTCCCTCAGCGTGTTTGTTGAAATGTGAAAGCAGACCAGTCAGGAGGTTAAAATGAACTAGTCCGGAGCTTAAACCAAGATGCTGATAGGAAGAATGTGAAATCCACTCTGAAGGAAGGCTAGAATTTGGATGTACAGAACAAAGCAAGAGAAACTGACTTGGAAAATCAGTTTTAAGTATTATTGATTTAGTTGATTAATTGTACTCAGGGAGAAATGTCTAGGGTTACTTTAAAATTGGCTGCTAGAACCTTGAGTTAATCCTGAAGATAGATTTTGAAATCAACCTACATTTGTTTGCTGTCAAGAAAAGGACCACTCTGCCATGAATGGGTTTCTGTCCCTAAGGAATAGGATTTCATGCCTGGGCCAACATTTGCCACCATTATAGAAACAATAAATGATTTCAGAGTAAGTTCCTCTCCAGAGGCCTTGCTGAAGGAAATTTGTGTAAGATTAAATATCATCCTGCCTGGGATATGATCAGAGTGTATTTTTCACCCTTTCCAATGTTTTTTTCTTGTATATGCATATACACATACATACACACATTTATTTTCAAGTTTTCATTTATAAAGTGTCCTAGTTTTGTTTCCCTGACTTTTAAAAAAGCTACAGGCCTTTCTTCTTATTCCTTCTATCTTTAATTGTCATTCATCCCACCTGGGTCCACTTTGCTAGCCTTTAAAGCTACTGTTTTAGATTATCTCAAGTTTGGGGTTTTGTGAATTCCTTTTTTGTGATTATCCTGATTTTTACTGCATTTGACTTTGAAGTACTGTATTTAAATGTTGAGAGTGTCATACCTTAGGACTTCAGAGCTAGTCCAAAGTAAATTATGAAGTATACTGGGAAAATCTAGCCAACCTGGTGCTTCCATTTTGCCTGTCACTTTAATCCCCCTCTCTCTATTCCTACATTTTGAGACCAACTCTTTTGAGGGGTGGGGGTGGGTGGGTGTTAGGCTGATAGAAAGGATTAGTGTAAGCTATTCTGTATATACTTTCTGATTAGTTCTTGTGGAATCAAAGGAAAAGATAAAATAATTAAATGTTTTAGATGCGTGTTCAAAAAAGGCTTAATAAACTGCTTTTGCTGAATGCATATGTCATATCATATTCTTTGTTGGTAAAATCTCACTTTTTACTTCTCCTTTGCTGTAACATCTGGTATGAAAGTCAGGAGAAAAGAAAGTAGATGTAAGTCTGCGATATGTTTACTTCAAAACTGACAAATTGTATATACCAAAGATTCTAACAAATGTCATATAATGTAAATTGTAGTATGATTTTATTTTACATTATGTTTTTATTTCCATTTGCCAAATCAACTCTAATATATATGGCATTACTAATAACTGCAATGGAGTGTTAACATATCCTCTTTGAAATTGATAAAAATTGGTTTCTGGATTACTTTGATTGATACTTACTCTCTTCCAGGAGATAACGTGAATACCTTACCCTTTGATATCATCCATTCATTCATCCATTAGTGTCAGGTTTCTCTCAAAATATATCCTTTATCTGACCATGCCTCTCCACTTCTGCCACTACGCCTGTAGTGGGAGCCACCGTCCTCTCTCCCCACCTGCTTCCCTTCTTCACTTCTGTTTCCTCTTTTGTTTATGCCTTACAGAATAACTGTAATTAAAAAATATATATGCCAAATTATGTTACTCTTAAATTACTCCCAAGCCCTTTTGACTTCTGTCTCACATGGAATAAAATCCAAAGTCCCTCAGAGCCTGCAAGGCACAGCATGATTTGGGTCCACTGGTATCTTGGACTTTGGTTTCTGTGTTCTCTTCTGTGTTCCTACTGCTTGAGTCACACTACTGAGGATCGTGCTGTTCCCTCTGTTGAATGCTCTTCCTACAGGTCTTTGCCTAGATGGTTCTCTTATTTCTATGCCTGATTGTAATCTTCCTAGTTTCATCTTTCCTGGCTATTCTAAAATAGTTTTCCTACCCTATTGCATCATTCTATGTGGAATAAAGGACAGGCCCTTAAAAATGAAATAAAACTAGCTTTTATGAGAAAGTTACTATGTTATTCTTTCCTTTCCTCTTTTTCTTTCTTTCCTCCTCCCTCCTTTTCCTTTCCTTTCCTTTCCTTTCTTTTCCTTTTCCTTCCTGTCCCTTCCCTTCCCTTCCTTTTCCTTTCCTTCCCTTCCTTTTCTTTCCCTGACCCTGCTTTTGCTTTTGCGTTTGCGTTTGCTTTTGCTTTTCTCCTGCCCTGGATCAGATAATTTTTTGTTTCATCGTAGTACCCATTCCCAGACTGGTGCTGCATTTGGAGAGCAGACTATTAACACTCTTACCTTTCTTCTTTTGCTTAAGTCATGTAAGAATAATTAGTATTTTCACTGATGTGTAATTTCTGTGTTGAAGCACACAAAACAAAAATGAAATTCTACATATTCATGTTTTCTCCTCTCTTTCTCTGACTGACACACACACACACACACACACACACACACACACACACACACATTGAGTGTGGGAAAATCTTGTATTAATGAGTGCATTTCTGTTTTCCTTTGAGGCATTTCATATATTTAGTTTTGCTTTCAAACAGTAAAGCCTCTTAAACAATATTAGCATATTTTTTATTCTGTACAGCTAATTTCAGTTTTGGAATTTTAGGAGTTTGTAATTGGTTTGGATGATAAATGTTTACAAAACATGTCAAAATTAGACTTTGCTTTGTATCCATTGAGTTGATTTATGTGTGTGTAATTCGATGAGAGGTAACCCTGGTTGTGTCTGGTTATCTGGTTATTTTCTCCTGAAATTTTATTGTATTGTCTAGGTTTCATGCCATTTGCCCATGTTTATCCTTTCTTAGAGTTGGAATTCAGTAGTAATGGTCCTTTAAAGAGAATTAAATGTATTCTTCTTAACTTTTGCAAAACAAACTTTAAAAATTTCATCTGTGGAGTCATAATTTGCAGACTAAAGTGCTTTCTTCCACAATTACTTTTGTATTATAAAACTCCCCCCAAAAAACCACTTCTTCCTGTTAAAGACTACTTAGGGGTTTGGTGGATAGGCATGTGAGGTTCTAGTCCCTGAAATTACATTCAGAATTACAGAATAGCTTTTATGAGATCCACCAGGGAGTACATTACTAAAGAAGATTAAGTATGTTCTAACAAAATAATAAACCTTTAAAAATATCTTTCTGTATTTCACACCTACAGAGATGAATAGTCCCAAAACATATAGCAAAACAGTAAAGCTGTCATCAGAGTGTTGTTCATTTTTAACTAAATAGCTTTTTCTCAGACCTCAAAAGGAAGAATGGTTAAATAGTTGAGTTTCTTAAAAATTTAACAGGGAACCTCAGATATAAAGCAATTATTAAATAAATTTGGTTATTAAAGATTGCAGCATATCAGTTTACCCTTTGTCTGCTGATAAACAGTAGTAACTACAGTATTTCAGTTTGAAATGAGAAGTAAAAGAAATTGTTTATTTCTTATTTATAATTGAAGAAAATACCCTTATTTGTAATGAGTATACAAGACATGTCAAATTTGATGTCTTTCCCCAAAATTTTTGCAAAAAGATGTAGTCACCATGTATTCAAGTCTTCACAAATGTCTTCCATCATGACATTTCAGTTTACTTTGGACTACAAAGTACCACTGGGGGAAGACACATTGACCTTAAATAACCTAGTTAGTTGATAGATGTGGAAACTCCATAGAGGTCATCCTAAGGAAACAAAATTAGCATGGGGGCGTCTGCCTGGCTCAGTCAGTAGAGCATGGGAATTGATGCTTGATCTCAGAATTGTGATTTTGAGCCCTATGTTGGGTGGAGAGATAACTTAAAAAATAAAGAATGGGGGCGCCGGGGTAGCTCAGTTGGTTGAGTGTCCACCTTCAGCTTAGGTCGTGATCTCCTGGCTTATGAGTTCAAACCTCACGTCGGGCTCTGTGCTGACAGCTCAGAGCTTGGAACCTGCTTCAGATTCTGTGTCTCCCTCTGTCTCTGCCCCTCCCCTGCACACGTTCTGGCTCTCTGTCTCTCAAAAATGAATGAACATCAAAAAATTTTTTTAAATAATAATAGTAATAAAAAGAATGAATTGTGAAGACTATTGTCTAGTGCTGCCTTCAAAAAAAGAATTAACACAAGGGTGCCTGCCTTGCTCAGTCAGTAGAGCATGTGAGTCTTGATATCAGGTTCGTGAGTTTGAGCCCTATGTTGGGTATAGAGATTACAAAACTTAAAAAAAAAAAATTAGCACAGATTTAGTAATTATTTGTATTGGCATGGGCTCAAAATTACTAGCGTTGGAGGTGATCAAGATTTAAAAAGCAAAAGAGTAATAATATAATAATAGATTATATAACAAAAATCATAAATTTACACCAGGATGATGACTGAAACAATTATCTTACTGTTACAAGAGTGGGTACTTGTGGCTTGAGATAAAGTTTCCAGTTTCCCATTACATACTGACTTTAATAGTGCTGTATCTCAATAAATTTAGATTGTGAGTGAAGATGATATGCTCTGGAAAACAGATCATTTACACAGTGGATACAGTGATGACAGAGACAATAATATTGAAGATGGATGTGAAGATTTTTAATAACTAAGCCCAAAGTTGAATTTAAAAACAATCTTTGTATGGGAAAGTATATATTGGGTTGTAATTTTTCAAGAATAAGTGATGTTTATTTCTTTTAACGTAAGTGGAATTATTGCATAAGATTGGCTTTATTAAATTTCTCCTCTTATTTTATGTGCCTGGAAGCAAAAATTTAATACTGTAATTTTATAGTCAGATTTCCGACTTTTTCACATGCCCTGTTAGCCCTTCCGTAGTCAATCTGTTTCTTTATCTTAGCATTGCTTCCTTCATTTTCTTTTTTCCTTATAGGAGTTTGGTAAAGCATGACATTTTCTAAAATATTACTCTTGATAAAAGCAATATTTTTGTTTAGGTGACAAACAGCATGTTTGGTGCTTCAAGAAAGAAGTTTGTAGAGGGGGTCGACAGTGACTACCATGATGAAAACATGTACTACAGCCAGTCTTCTATGTTTCCACATCGGTCAGAAAAAGATGTAAGTTAATCAGTTATATTGTGTTTACTTAGCAGTGTATGTCTGTGTCCTTCTGGTTCCTGAAAAATAGTATATGAATTGCAAAATACCGTCTTTAATCGAGTGACTGTATTTTAGGCCCAGTGCTACACCCTGGGGATACAATGGCCTATGGGAGCTTACATTCTAATGGAAGATAAAATGTCCTATAATTCTTAAGTTGGGATATGGTAATACTGTGGTAGGAAGTACTCAAAATCCTCTGGTAAACATGGTATTCTAGATTATCAGTTTTTTTAACTTGTGAAGTAACTTGTTTTAATATTAAAATATACACATAGAGTAGAAAGCAGATTTGCACAGATTTAAAGATGTAATGGCAAGATTTAGTGAAACCTTACCTTTGCTCTTTAATCTTCAGGGTGTAATCCTAAGCTTCAGTTAGTAAGAGTATCTCCTCTGTTCATCTGTAGAGATGCTACTACAGAAAAATTTTGGAAGAACTGTATTCAAACATAGATGGTATGTTATAGAGGTGTGAATTAAGTGCTTTGGAAGGCTAGTAGTTCAGTAATCCCGTTTGGAATGAAAGGATTTCACACAGCCAAGTCATAATTAGCAAATTGATAAAATATTTTTAAATCAATTAATTGTTTTCAAATTCTAGTAAGCCTCTTTAAATTATACACTATATACTACAGTAGTTAAACCAGTTGCATTTTTGTATTTGTACCCACCCACCCTTTTTCTCTTTTCAACCCTTTATAAACTTGGCTATTCCTAATTTCCCTATCTATATAACAATCTATTCTAGTTAATAACCTAATGGGATTGTTACTGATATTTAAAGCACTGATAAAATTCTAAGATCTGTAAGAAATGCTCTCATTTTTCATTAAAGTCGACCATTAGTAAATTAATTCCTGTGTCTTACAAGCAGTTTTTACCCCCTCCTATTTTGATGCAACTCCCCTTTATTTTTGTTTGAAAATTGTGTCATTTTGGCAACAGTGTCAGTTGTGTTATTAGGACTCTTTTCAAAATATGTGGTGACTTCATAATTAGTGTGCAGTTTAACAGCTGATAGAATAGTGTCATCTCATTAATTTTCTGTTACCTTACTGCTCTTCTAACTGTTTGCTCTTGGATATAAATTATAATTGAGTTACGTTTTACTTAAGTTTCTATGTTTACGTCTTGGTCTTGTAGTTGAAGAATTTGGAATATCTTCTGGCTAATGTTGGTTGCAAAAACTATAACACTAATCCACGTGTATATTACTATGATTGTATAGGGAAAGTTAAGTCTGATGAAAAAAAATGGTAGTAGAATATTACTTATTGAAGAAAAGCACTCATTCTGATTAGGAAGATATGAAGCTTTCAAACAAATCTGGAATAAAATACGTACAGAGAATGACAGAGATGTATGCCTTCTAGAGAACAGAAATGCTATATATCCGAGGTTTTTAGTCACCATTATTAAATACACTCACATATGTTGGTTACCATTCCTGTTCAGTTGTTTGTCACAAAAATAACACAATGATTTGCTTTAGAAAACTTGTTTTTTTAATTAAGAAGGTAATGAGACATAAGAAATTAGGCTCTAAGCCTAACACTTATATGTGTTTGGATCTTGGCTTTGCCTGTTACCAAGGACTTCTCCAAGCCTCTGTTTTTTTCTCCTTTAAGCTGGGACAAATTTCTACTGTTGCTGGTACTTTTTTTAATAACAAAATAGTACCAGAGGTATTATACAGATTTTTAAAAACATGCATGAGAAGGGAGAAGAAAAATTACCCATAATTTTGCTGATCAGGAATAATTTTCTGCTAAAATTTTGATTTAATACATTAAATATTTTTACTTTAAAAATGTTATCATGTAAATCTCGAACATATTAACATATTTTCCACTAGAAAGTTTGTACCAGTTTTTACCCTGAGCAACACTTTCCATGCCCTCAAAAATACCAGCTGTTAGTTACCTCTAAGTCTTTGCAGTATACAGAAGAAACTCACTGTCTTAAAATATATTAAGACATTGTTAAATTTACACACATAGGCATGCACACACTCAAACACACATGGTAACATGTCTTTTCCATGTAGTTACTGGCCATTTGTATTTCTTCCTTTGTGGATTACCTATTTTTGTCCCATTTTCTATTTTTCTATTGAGATGGTAAGTCTTGTTTATTTGTTAGTGTTCTCCATAAATTAAGATTAATAGACCCTTGTGCTCCATTACAAATACTTTTCCCAGTTTTTTTTGCTTACAGTTTAGGGAATGGTTTTTAAATGTAAAAATATCTATCATTCTTACTGAATTTGACTCCTCAGTGCTTTATTTTTTATGCTTTTATGTTTTTGAGATCATACTTAGACTTTTTCCAGCTATTTTCTTCTGGCATTTTTGTGCTTCATTATTCACATGTAACTTAGCTCCCTTAGAAATATATTTTAGTTTGAAGTGTGAATATTGGTGCCTGGATCTCCACCCGGCACTCCTCCCACCCTTTCAGGTTATCCAATATCCAGTTGTCCCAACACCATTTATAATTTAGATCACAGGTTAGAAAACTTTCCCATAAAGGACCAGATAGTAAATATTTTAGGGTTTATAGGCCAAGAGGCAAAATAAAGAATATTATGTAGGTATTTATATAACCATTTAAAAAGTAAAAAAAAAATTTTTTTTAGTTCACACACCCTACAGATATAAGCTTTGTGCTGGATTTGGCCTGCAGGCAGGAATCTGCCCAGCCCTGAGTTAGACCATTCATCTAAGGCTAATTGAAATCCTCCCTGCATATGTATTAATGTCTGATTGGGCCTGTTTCTAAACTCTTGTTCTGTTTCTCATGCTGATTCTGTGGCAGAACTGCAACATAGTTGAATTGCTGTAGCTTTATAGACAATTTTCACATCTTAGTCAGGTAAGGTCTTTCACATCCTTCTTTATAAAATATTTTTGACTATTGCACATTTATACCTATGGTTACCTTCTTTTAGAAGTCTGGTGTCTGTCTTCTGTTGTTCTGATGCCATTTTTTAATAAGTAGGGTTTTATGGTTGCCATTTTTGTTACATTTTTCTCATTGGTTTTTACTGATAGAATAGTTTGTATTTATTTTATAACCAACTACCTTACAAAACTCTTACTAGTTTTTGTTGATTGGGAACAGGGGCTCTGCAAGTCCTACTGTATGATTTTATATCTCACTCACATGATTTACTAACCAGGTGTCCTTGGGCAATTTAGTCTCTTTGTGTCTCAGTTTTTTAATCTATAAGATAAGAATAACAGTATATGATTCATAGGTGGTTATAAGGATTGAATGAATAAACATATGCAAAACTTTCAGAAGACCAGATAGTAAATATTAAATAAATTTTGCTACTAATATGAACAATAATAATATTATTATTCCATTTGATTGTCTTGGGTTTTTTACATAGTTATGTATATCATCTGCAAATAACAATTATTTTACTATAAAACTATTGAGGAGAAAGCTTTTAAACGTAACAAATAGATGAGATAATTTTGTAATTTTTTTCTGTCTGGGAACAGTGAGAAAATAATTTCAAATTCTTATTTATGATAAAGAAAAACTGACCAGTGATTGAGTGAATCTGTATGCCATTTATTTTAAAAAGTCCTGGGGCAGCTGGATGGCTAAGTCGATCCAGTGCCGACTTCAGCTCAGGTCACGATCTCATGGTTTGTGAGTTCGAGCCTCGTGTAGGGCTCTGTGCTGATGGCTTGGAGCCTGGGGCCTGCTTCAGATTCTGTGTCTCCCTCTCTCTCTGCCCCTCCCCTGCTCATGCTCTGTCTCTCGGGAATAAATAAATGTTAAAATTTTTTTTTAAAAAAGTCCTAATGTACCCTATCCATATAGTATAAAATGTAAGTATCATATGCATGGTTGTAGAAGTATTTGGGAAGCTGTTCTTTATGTGATTGTGTACTAATTAAATTGCTAAGTAGTTCTTCAGGACTACTTATTTTCCAAGGCCTTTTATTTCAAGAGATGCTTGTGTATGGATATGTCTTTGTATAGAATGCTGAATTTGCTATTTTGATGTATAAACACCATTTTATAAATATTACAGATATGTTATTTAAGCGTTTTCACAAGATTAAATAAATTAGAGGTAGATATGGGCTTGATTTCTATTTTAGTATAATTATTTTCTTTTTTTAAAAATTATTTTCTATTTGGGGACATTATGGAAGATGAAAAACATTCATATAAGATGTCAATAGACAGCTCTTTGGGGATAATATAATCTAAACAGCTTAGAGTTATTGTTTAAATATATTTGTATTTGAATTGCTAGTCTATTTTCTAGTCATGTGAGTCTGTGCACTCAATTGATAATTCTTAAGCATAATCATTTTAGAAGCACAAACTCACGGGAACTCCTTTTCCCTTGCTTTAATATATGCTGTAAAGACACGAAATGTGACACCTGTTCCTTTTTAAAAAGCTCTTAAAACTGATAAGAGTAGGCCACTTTCTTATTTTGACAAACAGCAACCATTTTGAACTCATACCTAGCTTTTGTACTTGTGTTAGCCTACAGTAATTATGGCTGCTAGGATTTCTTTCAGACCAATTAATAACCAGTATTTCATTAAAACCTATTTATAAACTTGTATTATTATAAAATAAATTATTGTTGTCATCATCATTATTAGTATTAACTACATGTTGGAGTCCTGCTTGGCTGACTGTCCAGTTCATTAATTACACTCACATTCCTTTCTACCTGAAGACCTTGGTGTCCTTTTTGTTGTTGTTGTTTTGTTTTGTTTGTTTTTCGGATCTTCACATGGTTCTGTCTCACTATTATCTCTCACTATATCTACTAAAATGCCTTCCCTGAGAAGAAGCCGTCTCTCTTTGCCTAAGTAGCTTTGTGTATACTATCAGTACTACTCCTACTGTATCCTTCAAGATTCTTTCTTGCACTTTCATAATCATAGCATCTCTGTATTTGAAATACATCT